GTGCCGCCAACAAGGTGCTCGACCACCTCGTCGGAGGATCATCGCCGCCAACAGGAACACAGCACGCAAACTCCTTCGCATTGCGAATTCTGAAGCCCAGAACCACCACAACCTACAAGTATCGGATGTTGCACAAGGGCAGACGTGTAGCACAACAACATTCTCAACCTAGCTTCACCTTCCAGAATCGTGAGAACTATCTTCACAATCCCTTTGTCGCTATGTATGGGAGCCTTGTTTAGGGCGGCGTCGGCAGGGACCACCTGATGAGCAGACACACATGTCATGACATGTGCAGTCGCAAGGGCAGCGCACCATGTAGACTCGAGCATCTCATCCCCGCCAGACCACGGCAATACCCCCTGGACGAGCTTTCTCTGACATCAAACTGGTCGTGTCCTGCTGGCGTCCCTATGAGCTTCTGATTGTCACCTCGCTGCTCAACAGCAGTAAGCATTTTGGCATCCGGACTTTTCAGAGTCCGCACAGGTGCACATTGAAAGGCCTTCCATTCCCTGTGCTCAGCCAAACGGGCACGTGCACACGCAGTAGGGTGGCCTGCAGGGTTCCTATTAAGTTTAATTGCATTCCTGTGAATTCAAAAGGGTTCCTATTCATTTCAATGGGCTTCCGATGAAAATTTTTGCTAATTTTATTCGGATTCCTATGAATTTCAATAGAGGATTCCTGCGAATTTATGAGGGCTCCAAGAAATGTTAATCTTAAAAGAAACCCATAGAGATGTTTATAGGGTTCCTATTAATCTAATTGCATTCCTATGAATTCAATAAGCTTCCTATTCATTTCAACGGGCTTCTTATTAAATTCTACTAATTTCATTCGGATTCCTATGAATTTCAATAGAGGCTTCCTGCGAATTTATGAGGGCTCCAAGAAATGTTAATCTTAAAAGAAACCCATAGAGATTTTTATAGGGTTCTTATTAATTTAATTGCATTCCTATGAATTCAATCAGCTTCCTATTCATTGCAAGCTATGTGTGTGTGATAAGGATCTGGCCGGACTGCTTCGTACGTCGCAGGGTGCATTTTTTTCTCAGGAACACTGCGGCGCAGCTTCGATTTTGTCGCACCGCCAAAAGCTATGTCAGAGAAAGTGCCCCGCATGACGAAGATGGCGTAGTCGTAGTCGTACCCGGAAGAAATGGTCCAGGGGCAACCATGGTTGCACTTGCGGTCGGAGCCGATTAGGCCGCCAATCCGCCGCTGGAGCCCCAGTTGGCGTGCTCCGCACACATCTCGACATCCGCGGTGGGCCGATAAGAAGTCAAGTCGCAATTAGTTTGGTCACACTGGCTTCCCAGGCCAGATCCATGGTTCCCTGGCCCGTTGTTGGTAGTGGAGATGCGGTTGAAGTCGTTGCCAGAGAAGCCTGAGTTGACGTAGAGTGCGCCTGTTCCGTCGCGCTTGTTCGCGATCACAGGCTCCCACTCGATGAGGTTCCCCGCGTCCGCGCCATTCCCGGAACAAGCGTTGGCTGTGATTGAACCAGTCCCGGAGAGGCTTCGTCTCAAGCAGCTTCCATGTTCGCCAGCCGAGCGCCGTGCCCTCCTCGTGGCAGACGATCAGCACATCCTTGGCCGCCGTCTGGCTGAAGACCTCCAGGTTCTTGTAGTCTCGCGTGAAGCGCTCGTTCTCATCAACGCTTGCACCTCCATGGGCCGAAGGACTGCCAGAAGTCACTGTTGCCGTACTCCACCACGTTGCCATCTTCGGCGTCGATGTTCAGGGCCAAGAACCAGCTGCCGCTGGGCGAGCCTCTATTATTTTATTAGGGTTCCTATTCATGTTAATCAGATTCCAAGTAATTTGAGTGGGTTCTTAGTAATGTGTAGGATGCCTAAGAATTTTAATAGGCTTCATAGCAATACTAATATTCCTATTTTAATCCGCTTCTTATTCAACTTAATACGATTTCATACAATTTTTAATAGCGCGCCTGTTCCGTCGTGCTTGTTCGCGATCAAAGGCTCCCACTCGATGACGTTCCCCACGTCCGTGCCAGTTGTCTGAGAAGAGATCTGCACACTCGACCCTCGCCAGCCAGATTCCCGGAACAAGCGTTGGCTGTGATTGAACCAGTCCCGGAGAGGCTTCGTCTCAAGCAGCTTCCATGTTCGCCAGCCGAGCGCCGTGCCCTCCTCGTGGCAGACGATCAGCACATCCTTGGCCGCCGTCTGTCTGAAGACCTTCAGGTTCTTGTAGTCTCGCGTGAAGCGCTCGTTCTCATCAACGCTTGCACCTCCATGGGCCGAAGGACTGCCAGAAGTCACTGTTGCCGTACTCCACCACGTTGCCATCTTCGGCGTCGATGTTCAGTGCCAAGAGCCAGCTGCCGCTGGGCGAGCCCCTATTATTATATTAGGGTTCCTATTCATGTTAATCAGATTCCAAGTAATTTGAATGGATTCTTAGTAATGTGTAGGGTGCCTAAGAATTTTGATAGGCTGCATAACAATACTACTATTCCTATTTTAATCCGCTTCTTATTCAATTTAATAAGATTTCATAAACTTTTTAATTGGAGTCCTTTTGCTTTGATAAGCTTCCTATTCACTTAAATAGGTTTCTGATTAATTTGAATAGGCTTCGTATTCATCTTAACAGGGTTTCTCATTTATGTGAAAAGGATTCCTAGGAATTTTCATAGGATTCCTATTAGATTCAAACGTGCTCCCATTATTTTGTAAATCCTCATTGTTTCCTATTCACTTCAATTAGACTCCAAGTAACTCTATTGTAACTCTGAATATTTTCTTAGCAATCCTATTAACTTGAAGTTTTAATAGGGTTCATATTAATTCTAACACTACGACTCCTATTTTGTGAAGGGATTCGCGTTACTTTGTTTATAGGTTCCTATGCCTATTAATTTTAATAGGCTTCCTCTTCATTCTAAAACGGATTCCTTTTACTCTTAAAAGAATTCATAGAGCTGTTTATAGGGTTCCTATTAAGTTTAATTGCATTCCTGTGAATTCAAAAGGATTCCTATTCATTTCAATGGGCTTCCGATTAAATTTTACTAATTTTATTCGGATTCCTATGAATTTCAATAAAGGATTCCTGCGAATTTATGAGGGCTCCAAGAAATGTTAATCTTAAAAGAAACCCATAGAGATTTTTATAGGGTTCTTATTAATTTAATTGCATTCCTATGAATTCAATCAGCTTCCTATTCATTGCAAGCTATGTGTGTGTGATAAGGATCTGGCCTGGCCGGGCTGCTTCGTACGTCGCAGGGTGCATTTTTTCCTCAGGAACACTGCGGCGCAGCTTCGATTTTGTCGCACCGCCAAAAGCTATGTCAGAGAAAGTGCCCCGCATGACGAAGATGGCGTAGTCGTAGTCGTACCCGGAAGAAATGGTCCAGGGGCAACCATGGTTGCACTTGCGGTCGGAGCCGATTAGGCCGCCAATCCGCCGCTGGAGCCCCAGTTGGCGTGCTCCGCACGCATCTCGGCATCCGCGGTGGGCCGATGAGAAGTCAAGTCACAATTAGTTTGGTCACACTGGCTTCCCAGGCCAGATCCATGGTTCCCTGGCCCGTTGTTGGTAGTGGAGATGCGGTTGAAGTCGTTGCTTGCGATCAAAGGCTCCCACTCGATGAGGTTCCCCACGTCCGCGCCAGTTGTCTGAGAAGAGATCTGCACACTCGACCCTCGCCAGATTCCCGGAACAAGCGTTGGCTGTGATTGAACCAGTCCCGGAGAGGCTTCGTCTCAAGCAGCTTCCATGTTCGCCAGCCGAGAGCCGTGCCCTCCTCGCGGCAGACGATCAGCACATCCTTGGCCGCCGTCTGGCTGAAGACCTCCAGGTTCTTGTAGTCTCGCGTGAAGCGCTCGTTCTCATCAACGCTTGCACCTCCATGGGCCGAAGGACTGCCAGAAGTCACTGTTGCCGCACTCCACCACGTTGCCATCTCCGGCGTCGATGTTCAGTGCCAAGAGCCAGCTGCCGCTGGGCGAGCCCCTATTAATTTTATTAGGGTTCCCCTTCATGTAAATCAGATTCCAAGTAATTTGAATGGGTTCTTAGTAATGTGTAGGATGCCTAAGAATTTTGATAGGCTTCATAACAATACTAATATTCCTATTTTAATCCGCTTCTGATTCAACTTAATAAGATTTCATACAATTTTTAATTGGAGTCCTTTTGCTTTGATAAGCTTCCTATTCATTTAAATAGGTTGCTGATGAATTTGAATAGGCCTCGTATTTCATCTTAACAGGGTTTCTCATTTATGTTAAAAGGATTCCTATGAATTGTCATAGGATTCCTATTAGATTCAAATGTGCTCCCATTATTTTGTGGGTCCTCATTGTTTCCTATTCACTTCAATTAGACTCCAAGTAATTCTATTGTAACTCTGAATATTTTCATAGCAATCCTATTAACTTGAAGTTTGAATAGGGTTTATATTAATTCTAACACTACGACTCCTATTATTTTGTGAAGGGATTCACGTTACTTTGTTTGTAGGTTCCTATTAATTTTAATAGGCTTCCTCTTCATTCTAAAACGGATTCCTTTTACTCTTAAAAGAATTCATAGAGCTTTTTATAGGGTTCCTATTAAGTTTAATTGCATTCCTGTGAATTCAAAAGGGTTCCTATTCATTTCAATGGGCTTCCGATTAAATTTTACTCATTTTATTCGGATTCCTATGAATTTCAATAGAGGATTCCTGCGAATTTATGAGGGCTCCAAGAAATGTTAATCTTAAAAGAAACCCAGAGAGATTTTTATAGGGTTCCTATTAATCTAATTGCATTCCTATGAATTCAATAAGCTTCCTATTCATTTCAACGGGCTTCTTATTAAATTCTACTAATTTCATTCGGATCCCTATGAATTTCGATAGAGAATTCCTTTGAATTTATCAGGACTCCAAAGTATTTTAATAGGATTCATATTAGATTTAATAAGCTTCTACAGGGTTTAAGGTTTTTTTGGGGTTGATTTTACCAGGGAAAGCAATCAGGAGCTGCTAGCTAGGTTGCAGGCTATGTGTGTGATAAGGATCTGGCCGGGCTGCTTCGTACGTCGCAGGGTGCATTTTTTCTCAGGAACACTGCGGCGCAGCTTCGATTTTGTCGCACCGCCAAAAGCTACGTCAGAGAAAGTGCCCCGCGTGACGAAGATGGCGTAGTCGTAGTCGTACCCGGAAGAAATGGTCCAGGGGCAGCCATGGTTGCGCTTGCAGTCGGGGCCGATTAGGCCGCCAATGCCGCCGCTGGAGCCCCAGTTGGCGTGCTCCGCACGCATCTCGGCATCCGCGGTGGGCCGATAAGAAGTCAAGTCGCAATTAGTTTGGTCACACTGGGTTCCCAGGCCAGACCCATGGTTCCCTGGCCCGTTGTTGGTAGTGGAGATGCGGTTGAAGTCGTTGCCAGAGAAGCCTGAGTTGACGTAGAGTGCGCCTGTTCCGTCGTGCTTGTTTGCGATCAAAGGCTCCCACTCGATGAGGTTCCCCACGTCCGCGCCAGTTGTCTGAGAAGAGATCTGCACACTCGACCCTCGCCAGATTCCCGGAACAAGCGTTGGCTGTGACTGAACCAGTCCCGGAGAGGCTTCGTCTCAAGCAGCTTCCATGTTCGCTAGCCGAGCGCCGTGCCCTCCTCGTGGCAGACGATCAGCACATCCTTGGCCGCCGTCTGGCTGAAGACCTTCAGGCGCTTGTAGTCTCGCGTGAAGCGCTCGTTCTCATCAACGCTTGCACCTCCATGGGCCGAAGGACTGCCAGAAGTCACTGTTGCCGTACTCCACCACGTTGCCATCTTCGGCGTCGATGTTCAGTGCCAAGAACCAGCTGCCGCTGGGCGAGCCCCTATTATTTTATTAGGGTTCCTATTCATGTTAATCAGATTCCAAGTAATTTGAATGGGTTCTTAGTAATGTGTAGGATGCCTAAGAATTTTAATAGGCTTCATAACAATACTAATATTCCTATTTTAATCGCTTCTTATTCAATTTACTAAGATTTCATGCAATTTTTAATTGGAGTCCTTTTGCTTTGGTAAGCTTCCTATTCACTTGAATAGGTTTCTGATTAATTTGAATAGGCTTCGTTTTCATCTTAACAGGGTCTCTCATTTATGTTAAAAGGATTCCTATGAATTTTCATAGGATTCCTATTAGATTCAAATGTGCTCCCATTATTTTGTGGATCCTCATTGTTTCCTATTCACTTCAATTAGACTCCAAGTAATTCTATTGTAACTCTGAATATTTTCATAGCAATCCTATTAACTTTAAGTTTTAGTAGGGTTCATATTACTTCTAACACTACGACTCCTATTTTGTGAAGGGATTCACGTTTAATAGGCTTCCTCTTCATTCCAAAAAGGATTCTTTGTACTCTTAAAAGAATTCATAGAGCTTTTTATAGGGTTCCTATTAAGTTTAATTGCATTCCTGTGAATTCAAGAGGGTTCCTATTCATTTCAATGGGCTTCCGATTAAATTTTTGCTAATTTTATTCGGATTCCTATGAATTTCAATAGAGGATTCCTGCGAATTTATGAGGGCTCCAGGAAATGTTAATCTTAAAAGAAACCCATAGAGATTTTTATAGGGTTCCTATCCTATGAATTTCGATAGCGAATTCCTTTGAATTTATCAGGACTCCAAAGTAGTTTAATAGGATTCATATTAGATTTAATAAGCTTCTACAGGGTTTATGGCTTTTTTTGGGTTGATTTTACCAGGGAAAGCAATCAGGAGCTGCCAGCTAGGTTGCAAGCTATGTGTGTGATAAGGATCTGGCCGGGCTGCTTCGTACGTCGCAGGGTGCATTTTGTCTCAGGAACACTGCGGCGCAGCTTCAATTTTGTCGCATATGTCAGAGAAAGTGCCCCGCATGACGAAGATGGTGTAGTCGTGGTCGTACCCGGAAGAAATGGTCCAGGAACAACCATGGTTGCACTTGCGGTCGGAGCCGATTAGGCCGCCAATGCCGCCGCTGGAGCCCCAGTTGGCGTGCTCCGCACGCATCTCGGCATCCGCGGTGGGCCGATAAGAAGTCAAGTCGCAATTAGTTTGGTCACACTGGGTTCCCAGGCCAGACCCATGGTTCCCTGGCCCATTGTTGGTAGTGGAGATGCGGTTGAGTTGACGTAGAGCGCGCCCGTTCCGTCGTGCTTGTTCGCGATCAAAGGCTCTGAGGTTCCCCGCGTCCGTGCCAGTTGTCTGAGAAGAGATCTGCACACTCGACCCTCGCCAGCCAGATTCCCGGAACAAGCGTTGGCTGTGATTGAACCAGTCCCGGAGAGGCTTCGTCTCAAGCAGCTTCCATGTTCGCCAGCCGAGCGCCGTGCCCTCCTCGCGGCAGACGATCAGCACATCCTTGGCCGCCGTCTGTCTGAAGACCTCCAGGCTCTTGTAGTCTCGCGTGAAGCACTCGTTCTCATCAACGCTTGCACCTCCATGGGCCGAAGGACTGCCAGAAGTCACTGTTGCCGTACTCCACCACGTTGCCATCTTCGGCGTCGATGTTCAGTGCCAAGAGCCAGCTGCCGCTGGGCGAGCCCCTATTATTTTATTAGGGGTTCCTATTCATGTTAATCAGATTCCAAGTAATTTGAATGGATTCTTAGTAATGTGTAGGATGCCTAAGAATTTTAATAGGCTTCATAACAATACTAATATTCCTATTTTAATCGCTTCTTATTCAATTTAATAAGATATCATGCAATTTTTAATTGGAGTCCTTTTGCTTGGATAAGCTTCCTATTCATTCAAATAGGTTTCTGATTAATTTGAATAGGCTTCGTATTCATCTTAACAGGGTTTCTCATTTATGTTAAAAGGATTCCTATGAATTGTCATAGGATTCCTATTAGATTCAAATGTGCTCCCATTATTTTGTGGATCCTCATTGTTTCCTATTCACTTCAATAAGACTCCCATTATTTTGTGGATCCTCATTGTTTCCTATTCACTTCAATTAGACTCCAAGTAATTCTATTGTAACTCTGAATATTTTCTTAGCAATCCTATTAACTTGAAGTTTTAATAGGGTTCATATTAATTCTAACACTACGACTCCTATTTTGTGAAGGGATTCACGTTACTTTGTTCATAGGTTCCTATTAATTTTAATAGGCTTCCTCTTCATTCAAAAACGGATTCCTTTTACTCTTAAAAGAATTCATAGAACTTTTTACAGGGTTCCTATTGAGTTTAATTGCATTCCTGTGAATTCAAAAGGGTTCCTATTCATTTCAATGGGCTTCCGATGAAATTTTACAAATTTTATTCGGATTCCTATGAATTTCAATAGAGGATTCCTGCGAATTTATGAGGGCTCCAAGAAATGTTAATCTTAAAAGAAACCCATAGAGATTTTTATAGGGTTCTTATTAATTTAATTGCATTCCTATGAATTCAATCAGCTTCCTATTCATTGCAAGCTATGTGGGTGATAAGGATCTGGCCGGGCTGCTTCGTACGTCGCAGGGTGCATTTTTTCTCAGGAACACTGCGGCGCAGCTTCGATTTTGTCGCACCGCCAAAAGCTACGTCAGAGAAAGTGCCCCGCATGACGAAGATGGCGTAGTCGTAGTCGTACCCGGAAGAAATGGTCCAGGGGCAACCATGGTTGCACTTGCGGTCGGAGCCGATTCGGCCGCCAATCCGCCGCTGGAGCCCCAGTTGGCGTGCTCCGCACGCATCTCGGCATCCGCGGTGGGCCGATAAGAAGTCAAGTCGCAATTAGTTTGGTCACACTGGGTTCCCAGGCCAGATCCATGGTTCCCTGGCCCGTTGTTGGTAGTGGAGATGCGGTTGAAGTCGTTGCCAGAGGAGCCTGAGTTGACGTAGAGTGCGCCTGTTCCGTCGCGCTTGTTCGCGATCACAGGCTCCCACTCGATGAGGTTCCCCACGTCCGCGCCATTCCCGGAACAAGCGTTGGCTGTGATTGAACCAGTCCCGGAGAGGCTTCGTCTCAAGCATGTTCGCCAGCCGAGCGCCGTGCCCTCCTCGTGGCAGACGATCAGCACATCCTTGGCCGCCGTCTGGCTGAAGACCTCCAGGTTCTTGTAGTCTCGCGTGAAGCGCTCGTTCTCATCAACGCTTGCACCTCCATGGGCCGAAGGACTGCCAGAAGTCACTGTTGCCGTACTCCACCACGTTGCCATCTCCGGCGTCGATGTTCAGTGCCAAGAACCAGCTGCCGCTGGGCGAGCCCCTATTAATTTTTTTAGGGTTCCCCTTCATGTTAATCAGATTCCAAGTAATTTGAATGGGTTCTTAGTAATGTGTAGGATGCCTAAGAATTTTAATAGGCTTCATAACAATATTTTAATCCGCTTCTTATTCAACTTAATACGATTTCATACAATTATTAATTGGAGTCCTTTTGCTTCGATAAGCTTCCTATTCACTTAAATAGGTTTCTGATGAATTTGAAAAGGCCTCGTATTTCATCTTAACAGGGTTTCTCATTTATGTTAAAAGGATTCCTATGAATTGTCATAGGATTCCTATTAGATTCAAATGTGCTCCCATTATTTTGTGGATCCTCATTGTTTCCTATTCACTTCAATTCGACTCCAAGTAATTCTATTGTAACTCTGAATATTTTCTTAGCAATCCTATTAACTTTAAGTTTTAATAGGGTTCATATTAATTCTAACACTACGACTCCTATTTTGTGAAGGGATTCACGTTACATTGTTTATAGGTTCCTATTAATTTTAATAGGCTTCCTCTTCATTCTAAATCGGATTTTTTTTACTCTTAAAAGAATTCATAGAGCTTTTTATAGGGTTCCTATTAAGTTTAATTGCATTCCTGTGAATTCAAAAGGGTTCCTATTCATTTCAACGGGCTTCCGATTAAATTTTACTAATTTTATTCGGATTCCTATGAATTTCAAGAAATGTTAATCTTAAAAGAAACCCAGAGAGATTTTTATAGGGTTCCTATTATCCAATTGCAGTCCTATGAATTCAATAAGCTTCCTATTCATTTCAACGGGCTTCTTATTAAATTCTACTAATTTCATTCTATGAATTTCGATAGAGAATTCCTTTGAATTTATCAAGACTCCAAAGTATTTTAATAGGATTAATATTAGATTTAATAAGCTTCTACAAGGTTTATGGTTTTTTTTGGTTGATTTTACCAGGGAAAGCAATCAGGAGCTGCTAGCTAGGTTGCAAGCTACGTGTGTGATCAGGATCTGGCCGGGCAGCTTCGTACGTCGCAGGGTGCATTTTTTCTCAGGAACACTGCGGCGCAGCTTCGATTTTGTCGCACCGCCAAAAGCTATGTCAGAGAAAGTGCCCCGCATGACGAAGATGGCGTAGTCGTAGTCGTACCCGGAAATGGTCCAGGGGCAGCCATGGTTGCGCTTGCGGTCGGAGCCGATTCGGCCGCCAATGCCGCCGCTGGAGCCCCAGTTGGCGTGCTCCGCACGCATCTCGGCATCCGCGGTGGGCCGAGAAGAAGTCAAGTCGCAATTAGTTTGGTCACACTGGGTTCCCAGGCCAGATCCATGGTTCCCTGGCCCGTTGTTGGTAGTGGAGATGCGGTTGAGTTGACGTAGAGCGCGCCTGTTCCGATCAAAGGCTCCCACTCGATGAGGTTCCCCACGTCCGCGCCAGTTGTCTGAGAAGAGATCTGCACACTCGACCCTCGCCAGATTCCCGGAACAAGCGTTGGCTGTGATTGAACCAGTCCCGGAGAGGCTTCGTCTCAAGCAGCTTCCATGTTCGCCAGCCGAGCGCCGTGCCCTCCTCGTGGCAGACGATCAGCACATCCTTGGCCGCCGTCTGTCTGAAGACCTCCAGGTTCTTGTAGTCTCGCGTGAAGCGCTCGTTCTCATCAACGCTTGCACCTCCATGGGCCGAAGGACTGCCAGAAGTCACTGTTGCCGTACTCCACCACGTTGCCATCTCCGGCGTCGATGTTCAGTGCCAAGAACCAGCTGCCGCTGGGCGAGCCCCTATTAATTTTAAGGTTCCTATTCATGTTAATCAGATTCCAAGTAATTTGAATGGGTTCTTAGTAATGTGTAGGATGCCTAAGAATTTTAATAGGCTTCATAACAATACTAATATTCCTATTTTAATCGCTTCTTATTCAATTTAATAAGATTTCATGCAATTTTTAATTGGAGTCCTTTTGCTTTGATAAGCTTCCTATTCACTTAAATAGGTTTCTGATTAATTTGAATAGGCTTCGTATTCATCTTAACAGGGTTTCTCATTTATGTTAAAAGGATTCCTATGAATTTTCATAGGATTCCTATTAGATTCAAATGTCCTCCCATTATTTTGTAAATCCTCATTGTTTCCTATTCACTTCAATTAGACTCCAAGTAATTCTATTGTAACTCTGAATATGTTCATTGCAATCCTATTAACTTTAAGTTTTCATAGGGTTCATATGAATTCTAAAACTACGATTCCTATTTTGTGAAGGGATTCACGTTACTTTGTTTATAGGTTCCTATTAATTTTAATAGGCTTCCTCTTCATTCTAAAAAGTTTAATTGCATTCCTGTGAATTCAAAAGGGTTCCTATTCATTTCAATGGGCTTCCGATTAAAGTTTTGCTAATTTTATTCGGATTCCTATGAATTTCAATAGAGGCCGCAGTGTTCCTGAGACAAAATGCACCCTGCGACGTACGAAGCAGCCCGGCCAGATCCTTATCACACACATAGCTTGCAACCTAGCTAGCAGCTCCTGATTGCTTTCCCTGGCAAAATCAACCCAAAAACAGCCATAAACCCTGTAGAAGCTTATTAAATCTAATATGAATCCTATTAAAATACTTTGGAGTCCTGATAAATTCAAAGGAATTCTCTATCGAAACTCATAGGGATCCGAATGAAATTAGTAGAATTTAATAAGAAGCCCGTTGAAATGAATAGGAAGCTTATTGAATTCATAGGAATGCAATTAGATTAATAGGAACCCTATAAAAATCTCTATGGGTTTCTTTTAAGATTAACATTTCTTGGAGCCCTGATAAATTCGCAGGAATCCAGCCTGGGTGGCCTTCGGCGGGAACGTATGTCCCCTACCCTCGGCCCTTTAGTAGACACAACATGATACAGATGAATCCGGTGGCACACCAGACAATGCCAGCCCCCCAGGCTGGCACCAGGCTGGCACATGACTCGAAGCGTCCGCGGTGGGAGGCGCGCGTTCTGTGACACTAGGCGCCGGGAGCATCAGAAGGCTCAGAGCTCATCTCTGACGTGCGTGCAGCACCTGGCGCAGCAAGTGCAGCAGGTTCTGGGCAACAGAGCAGGCCAAGGCCAGAAGATAAAGTATTCATGTACTCATCATATTCTGAAATGCGGATTCGTTATAGTGTATTGTATTCCAGGATATAACATGTTGTATGATATACATGTGTATATATATATATATGCATATGTATACACACACATATACATATATGTATATATCTATACAGATATATAAGCATGTTTTTGTATTTACTTTCAATAAATTCATTCAGCTAAGACGGAATCAGGTCAGCCCTGCCTGTGCCTTGCTGTAAGCTTTCCGGACTCCCAGGCTCGCCGTCCAGGCCAACTGACAGGTCTCCCAACACATCTAAGTAACAAGTGAGGTCTGTAAAGAGTCTCGGGCACTGTAGGGAAGTATTGGGAGGAGTTTGGGGGATTATCGTGGAAAGGTCGGGCACGTCTTCGAAGTGTTTTGAATGTTCGATTGTTTGAATGTTCGATTGATGCTGCGGCTGCATACGTTGCTTTTTTGTGCGGCAAGTCATGATGATGTCACGACAGGGACGACGCTATTTAGCCTCATGCGCTAGTGACCAGCGCAAGCTGCGCAAAGGCATAACAAGTCACAACAACTCTATTCCTCGGGCCATCGTATCAGAGCCCATATGCCGCTTCGGACGAGGCATCACGCATCTAAAATACCAGATAACGCTGCCCTCCAGTAAGCCATAAGCCTGCACTCAAATGGCTCAGCTTGGTCGAAATAGCTCCAAAACATAAGCCCAAGGTGCGTGATACTGCCAGTGTCAGCAGCTGCTTTCGAAAGCACACATTGCTAAGCATCTCACCCGTGAGAGTTCTGTGGCAACGCAAGAGGCATGAACTGGCACATGTTCAGGAGCACAAGGCAGGAAGTCATGGCGCCAGAACACTGACCAATGAACACTTGAGAAAGTCGGTATCATCACAGCTACTTCAGCTACTGCTCGAGTAGCTCAGGCTAAGCTTAAAGTGCCAATGCGTGCCAAGAAACGCGGCCCCGCTTGGCAGCCAAGATCTGCACATGCTCAGGCTTAAGTTGCAGTCTCTGGCACAACTCGCCATGTGCCTTCTTTCGCTGAAACGAGACCGCGAATCGCAGAACGATAGTAGCAGGCTAGAAAAAGACAAGGAGTCCCCTTGCCAAGGAAGGCAACAAGCAAATATTACGCATCTTACGACTGACAAGTGACGAGGATGATCTCAACAACGACAACGAGGAGGACGACGAGATGGTCATTCATGATGATGATGATGATGATGATGATGATGATGATGATGATGATGATGATGATGATGATGATGACCATGACAGTTGTCGTGGCGGGAGTGCTCGAACACATGGCTGGCAAGCGAACATTAGCCTCAGCGGTCTGGACCAGCGTCAGCTTCTCGACTTCCTGGACCATGCGTATCTCGTCAAGAAGCATAACAGCCAGCAGATTCATCTGCGATAAGGGTCTTTGCAAAACGATGAAGCTACATGCATGCAAAATCAGTCAGGCACCATCATGACCGCAGCAGAAATGGCAGCTGCACGATTGACGCCCATCCAGCAGTTGATGAGCAGTTTCTGCTTTCCTGCAGCTGGGACTTGGCATGCTCAATCTGCTCACGCAGTCTCCTGCTTCTCCTGCTGCTACCCCTCATGCACCTATGCACCTCTGCGTGCATGTCCAAGGGACTCTCTCGGGCCCAGGTCGCCTGGGAAGCAGCAGGCTGTGGCTCAGCATCATTCCATTGGAAAACGGTGCCCACAACACGTCAAGCTTCACACCAGCTACTCATACTCATGTTGACAAGGTGCCAGCTCAAGCGCTGTCAACAATGGGTAGCCCGGAGCCTTGCCTGCTCTCAAGTGATGTGACATGCCGTGTCGGCGTGATGTGGTATTGGACATGCTGACATGCCAACTTTGACTGCACCCAGAAACTCACTATGGGATAGCTCGGATGGTCAATCGCATCAGCAATCCTTGGGATCTGGAACACTTTGATCAAATACCAGGTTCCCAGATTGAACGCTTTCAATGCCGTCTTCTTGTATCTACAAGAAGGGGGGGTAAGTACAGGAAAGCATTGCGCTCTCTCTCTCTCTCTCCCTCTCTCTCTCTCTCTCTCTCTCTCTTGCCGTGGAGCTCCAAGCGCACAGCCTTGTCTTCCGCCAACTTTCGGGCTTGATCCTCTGCAGCTAGGGATGAGAGTCGAACGGATCCCTGATCTGGAACTGGGGCCCAATGTGTCTCCTCCCGTGCTCCCCACCCGTTCCTTGGCCGACTTGCAGCCTGTTGCTTGTCTGCTTATGGCACTCTCAACCCCTTACCCTAAGTTTCAGTGGGGATCCCATTCCTGAACCCATGGGGTTTGCCAACCCTCCAGGGCCCGGCCCGGGCCGAGGCAAGTCGCAAAGGTTGTTCGCCGATGGATTTCAACCCCCCACACAGGATTTGGGGGTTTCCGAAAATAGGGGCACCCTTTTTGGGGGTCCCTTTAAGGGGATTCTATTTGGATTGGAGAAAAAGGGGTACCCCTATGTTGGGAAATACCCATCTGAATAGAAAGCACAGGCTCGATGCTGCTCTTGTCAAGGTGATCAGCGCCTTGGCCGTGCTTCAGGACAAGCTGTGGGAGAACGAAATCAGGAGCCAGAGTTTGCACTTGCCAGGTGGCCTGTGCTTTCCGTTTGCAGCTCACGCTTTTTGGACTGAGAATCCAGCACAGAATTAAAGCAGCTCCAACATTGAGCTCTTCCAATTCCTCAATCGCAAGTGCAATGGGCAAAGTATCTTATCACCACTTTTGGGCACAAGGAATGTGAGAATCCTTGTGGCCGACTTATACTGTCCACAATGAAACTCGAACGATGAATTATGAAGGCAGATCGAAGACTTTCCCTAATCTCATGATGCCAGAGCTTCTCCTTGCAGCCAGCGCCAGGTGTCGCTCATAGCTCCAATGAAAAGCCTGGTCTAGTTTTGGTTTGCGAAAATGGGCTCTCCACTCGCTAAACCTTTAGAAAATTTGAGTTTCATGAGTTGCATTCCCGAACCTTGAGCTGAGTGAGCTAAGGAGCCAGGGCAGCAGGGCAGCCGGCTGTGGAACTGTCACCTGAGAAAAACAGAGGAGACTCACTTGCAGACTGCAGACGAATTTTCGAGGCAAAAATCGACTCGGCAGAGCAGCACCTCATGGTCATAGCTGCGGTGAACATCGAAGGCAAAGCTGGACAGCACCTGCAGGACGGGTCTCTGGCTATACGAAGCCGCAGTGGGGGGGCAGTCCCAGAGATGTGCCACAATACATTCCAATACATGGGGGTCTACGATAGTCGGGGTACCTTCTTGGGGTCCATACAATAAGGGGATCCTGCTATTTTCGTAAACCTCCACATCTGTCGGCATCCAGACAAACCAAAGGAAGTGGAAGGCACCTTATGCACTCGCTGGAGGCAATCCCGTCTTGCCACATCTAAGCAGGAACCTCATGTTCTCGTCTCACATACTCTAACATCAGGCCTCCAACACCAAGCATGTCCAAGCATGCTAGGCTCATGAAGCAGTGTAGCAGCAACTGCATCGACTTGCGTCAAGGAGCAAGTTCGGCAACGCCACCTGAAGTTTTCAGACCCCCCCCCCCCCCCCCCCCCCCCCCAAACCTACAGGGGTGACTACCACTGGCACACAAAGACTGCCATCAGCTAAAAAATCGATTTGAAGAGAATCGCCACCTGTTTGGGGCAACAGCAGAAAAAACACACACGATGACTGGCCAGAACGGATGTGCAAGTAGATGCGACTGCACACTGGTCTGCACGCTCCGATTGCATGCCAGCCGCCTGCCCGAAGCGGCGTCAACTTGTGTCATGCAGCCTCGCCCTTCGAAGCCGCCACAGTGGATGCACGTGGAACGGGCACATCGCCGGCAGTATGTCTCAACCCGAGACCACGTTTCCAGTTCTTCGCTGCTGCCGCACTGCAAGCAGCAAGCCTTGGCGACGTGGAGCTGAAGGAAAACATGATTATCATGATTGCTACTTTTATAATTTTTGTTATTGTTATGATGATGATGATGATGATGCTGATGATTATTATTATTAGTATGATTTGTTCAACAACAGCATTTCTTGGCCGGGAAACCAGGGCCAAAACAAACAGGAGCGACAACAACCCTTCAAACAACAAGCTCTCCCTAATGGCACTCGGAAGCATGCTCTTAGCAATGCAAACAGAGGATGCCAGACCCAGCACAATTCTTCGGATGCCTGGCAGCCTTCTGTTCAGATTCCTCGGTTGTTCTAGCTCATGCTCAATCACGCTATGGCTTGTCTTGTTCAGCATGATGTTCGATCTCTCCTTCTATCATCGGACCCGAGGGAGCGGGGGCCAAAAGTTGGTATGCCACAACTGCCGTTCTCTCTTTTTCGGCTGGGTTGTGCGACATCCATCTCCCAGTCCTCTGCCTCTTCCTCTGGCCTTCAATCTCCAGTCGCAAAGTGTCTGAGCCAAGCATCACAAGCATCACAAATCCAGTGCCCTTGGGTGTCAAGTAGCTTTAGCCACCAGGTCCTGGCGGGCGTTGCTCAGTTGCCCCTGATACAACCAAGATGCACACAAGCTGCAGGGAAGTAGATTCTAGTCGAACCCACAAGTGAACTTCCCTTCAACATCGATTAAGGGGTCTCAGCAAAGCATCCTGGAGCTCGGGTTTCAAAGGAGGGTTGGTGGCTCCGGTTGGGCTGTGAAGAGGGGAGGCTGCGGGTCTCAAGGCCCTCAACACTCGGCAGTTTGAGCGTCCACTTTCCACAGCCGTCGCAGCTCGACGACCTGATTTCTGCCAGTTGCCACTTGAAATAGCAGAACTTACAAGTCCTAGAGTTAGGACGTTAATGCAATGGAAATGTAGAAGTTTTCTCGAAATCAAACTATTGAGGAAAACAAAGTAGAAATATAATCGGAGTCAAATAGGACTGAAAATTAGGACCCCCCAAAAAGATAGGAATGGACATAGGAAACCATTAGAAAAAAGTAGTAGTATGAAAAATAGGAATCAAATAGACCAAAAAACAGACGAAACATAGGTCTTGGAATCAGAGATTTCGAAAAATTAGGATCTAACTCGGGGAAAAAAGGGAAAACTAGGAAACACATATATTACCCTATTTATTTCACATTTTTTGCTGTGTTTTCGGTCCTGTTTATTTCCTACTTATTTCGTCGTTTGTCTTTTGCAATTCCTATTTTTGAATCCAATCCATGGCCTATTCATTTTGCATTTATTTTCTAATTAACTAATTCCCAGTATTTTAACATTTCCATATGGATTAACATGTTAATCCTAGAGGCTGAAGCTACACAGGAGCGCGAACCGCACTCAACCGTACCCAAATTTGGCTAAGTGTCGGTGAAAGATTTCCTCCATCCTACTCGTACCACGCCTCCCTGCATGAAGCACTCTGGAATAGGGCGTCTTTATGGATGCGCATGGCTCGTCAAAGGTTCATGACCCGTGAAACACAAAGTTGCAAGCGGGCTGCATGCACTCATCGCAGTACCAGCCTTGGCAAGACACGGACCCTCACAAGAGCACAGGACCTTCACAACTTCACAACTGCTTATCAACTATGTTCGGCGTGCTGCTCTGGCAGCCCAAAAACTTGCACAACGCAACAGGCCCAAATACCATAAGCAGGTTGGAAGACCCAAGGGACAAAGCCGTCTGTCATGGAAGAAACTTCGCAGATCCCCCCATTACAGATGCGTCGCGCAGATTAATTGCAGAGTTTTCCCCACGTGCTGTCCTGTGAAAGCAGGACCATCTCTGCTGAATTTGCTTTTGATGGCTATTCTGCTGTGGGTTCGGGTAGCTGTTCTGAATTGTGTGTAATTTTCGTGTTATGAAACTTAACTTAACAACGTAGACGTTCAGCAGAAACGCTCAGGGCTTTCCCGCGTGGCGTCAGCTGTCCACCGCAAGTTCTTTTCTGCTCAGACCACCATGCCACTTGTCACGGCAAGTTGCCGAACTTGTCCCATAGATCTGGGGGCAGACTGCAGATAAACACGATGTGTCGCAACTGAATCACCATGCTTCTAATTAGGCAATAGGGACACCTGTCAGCTTGGCCATTTGAACAGGAGCCCGCGCAACAGTGCCAAGAGCTGAAGGACATGCCAAGAGCTCTAGCAACTCAAAAACGCTCCGACGCGAAAAGTCGAAACATGTCTGTACGTACGAAATTTTCTTCAATAGCGCGAGGAATCTTTCACCAGCTTTTCATGCGCTGTCCTGGAGAAACCGGGCCATCCCAACGATTTTCGCTTCACATGTCCGAAGGACAATGCTGTCTGTTCGTGTTGCATGGGGCGCGCGGACAAGCTCAAGAGGTACACAAAACCATACAAGCCAACAGCAGCTCTGAAATGTCCCTACGTTCAAACGATGTTCACGGATGTTGCCGTGGTGTTGCCAGGCCCCAGGCGGGGTATGCACCGTCGTCCCGTCAACATCACTTAACTCAATCACTGACAGGGTCTTCCATGCAAGCAGAGGCGCTGCACCCATGCTTTTGCCTTTTCTCACCAGGCAGACCACACTGACCACAGCGCTTCCACATGACCATGGCCAGACAAGCTCGTTGTAAGGACCCGCGCTTGACATACTTGCGACATCATCTACTCCCTGGTTGGTTGGCTGCATGTTAGACGAGCATTGTGCATGCCGCTGCATCTGCTTCACTACATCTGCACCTCTGTTCTCCTCCAACATGGCGGCAACAGTTGCGTAGGCTATGTGGCTCAACCCTGAACGAAGCCCCAACGCTTTGGTGGAGGCAGCAAGCCTGCTGGCCATTCCTTGGGTCAACGGGCATCACCAGGTCTGGTCCCCTGACTGCAACATTCAACTGGTTTAGAACTTGACACTAGAACATGAGAGTGCCGGCGCCGAGCTGGTGCCGGTCATGGCGTCATAAGAGCATTTCCCCAAATAGGGGTACCCCCCCAAGATATCCCCAAAATACTACAGCCCTCATAGGAACCCCACAATCGGGTACAAGGCCAGATTTCTCGCAAACCCCCAGCCAAGAAGATTTGGCCCGAGTGACAGATCCACCCGGCGCTGCCAGGCGAGTCGTTTGGCAGCGGCTCCTTGACCCTCGCGGGAGCCTCTACGAAGAGAGGATCTTTGGGGGCTTCTGAACATGGGCTTGTCCTTTACCAAGGGGCAGAGTGCTTTGGGCTTATTGCGTCGTCTGTCGTCGCACTTATGCGGCAGCATAAAAATCTCTTTTCAGCAGAAGAACTACGAGTAAAGCCAGAAACATGGTCACCTGCTCCTCCATGGAAAAAGCTTGGCAGCTGAACCTGGCCACAAAATGAAGGGATTCAAACGGTTTTGAAAGGAGCGACTCCAGTGCAGCGTGCTGTTGAGAAATTGAGACGCAGACCTGGCCTTGGCTGCCTTGAAACCAGCCATCTCGATATATCCCAGCAGAAACGGATTGGTGATCTGACTGCGATCATGCCATGCGAATCCATCCGAAACCTCCAATCTCCTGATCTCCAACTGCACCTCGTGGCTGCGCCACGGCTGCTGCAGGCGTCCCAAATTTCTGGCCCCTTGCAGATAGCCGAAACAAAGAGAAAGTCCAGGATTAAATAATTCTACCTGTGCAGAGCTAAGGCTGGGAGGGCTTCGTACGCAGGAAGAAACAATTCAGCTCGGACAGCCTGCATCTTTGCTTTGGGGCCTATGGCAGTTGAAAATGTTGAAACACTTTGCCGATCCGGGGGCCTGGTCGGGCCTGACACGCCGTGTCTGCCGCCATCGCGAGTAGCTGCGAAATGGTGAAGGCTTGTAAACTTGTAAACTGCTATGGGCACTCGCGGTGTTTTGACTTGGCATGTGCTGGCATTCTGTGCTGCATGTTCGGCTGCTGCTGAGACCATGGCTTGAAACATCACGACGCTGTGAGTTATGATGGTCAATGTGCTCATCTCCATTCGGCAAGGCTTCTGAAAAGTCTCAATAGAAAAGAGCAGGACTTCGTGATTGTCTAGTCTGCTATTTAGCAGAAACTGCAGGATTGTGCAAGCCATCGTTGTGGGATTCAATAAGATCTTTCCCCAGCCGATCCTGCCCCCCCCCCCCCCCGAACGGAAAGGGATCTCTGCATCTCCGACTGCATCAGCTATACAACTGCAAGCGCAGTTCCAACACCTTGCCAGAAGCGGTCGAGAACATTCTCAAGCACCTCCATCCAACCTTGTCGATATGTTTACAAGGAAAGCTGGCGTTAAGTCCAGACTGCACCTTTCCGGGGCCCAACAAAACTGTTGAATCACAATGCCCCACACGCAGCCCCTCGGCGAGCAGCTGCAGTTGCCTTTTCACGTGCAAAGGCCCGTGATGGATGAAGACGGCTGTGATAGCACTGAGCGTTTTCAACATGCTTCATTTTCCTAACCGTGCCTCCATGAACTCGTGAAGCGCTCAGCGCGGGTGATCATTGAGGTTCGCAGCGGCCAGCCAATTCCAGAAAAGTACGCTGAAAGCCCCATGAGTTGCAAGTTGAAGACTGCACTGGATTCCGCTAGACCTCCGTGAGTAGTGAAACCTGAAACTACAGTACAGTCCAGCGCTGTCAGCTCTGGCTCTCATCTCCTCCCTGTGCCGGAGTCCGTGGAACGTCAGCGCCTGGGGTTGGAGTTGTAAGAGTGTGCTCTGGCTGCTCGCGCAAGTTTGCTTTGTCCATGCGCGGTTGACCTGGCTGCACGCCGTCCAAACTCGTCTGCAATGTGAGTTTCGTGCAAGTATGCATTCATATCATATGATATCATATGCATATATATTATAGAAATAATATCATATACATCACTGAAGTCTAGACAAAAGCAGTAAATATCTGCCGAACCCCAAGCAGGAGCGGCATCAGTGAAAACTCATTTCCCTGTACTGCCCTCCCTCCCGGCCCTCCCCGCCCTCTCCGTTTTTCCCTGCCCTTAGTGCTTCGTCTATAGGGCCGCCCACCTACCCCCTGCGAGCCTGCTGCTTTGCCTTGGAATGGAGTGTTTGTAGGGCTCCAAGCCATCGGGCCCCCGCCGCCCCCCCACTCTCCCCGCCCTCCCCGCCGCCTGTCCTGTACTCAAGTGTTTTGAGGGCGGCTCCAACGCCACCCCCCCTCACCCCCTCACCCCCCCACCCCTACCCGTGCCTTGGACGCTTAACGTCTATTCTGCGCGTGCTCTTTGTTTTCTTGGATTCTTCCCGAAAACCAATTCTGTTCTTGGGTTCTCGTTTGGCGCTTCAACGCGGAAGGCGTTCTACCGGATCGCTTTTTGGCGAAAGAGGCCACGAAGAGGAGACGGCCAACATTTTGACGGGAGGCCGCGGAGACGACACGGTCAAGGGAGGGGGTTCGGAACATTTTGCTGGGAGAGGGGTGGCGTGGGGAGGCGTGGACCATGCCTGGAGGTTGACGGACGGGTTCGGGGGGGAGCACGGATGGGGAGCGTGACGTTCCGTTGTGATGGGCAAGGGAGTGGGGACACGTGGACGCCCCTCCGAGCCCTGCGCGTGCTCCGCGCCCTCCGCGCCCGCCGCGCCCTCGCCCTCCGCGCCGCTCCGCGCCCTCGGCGCGGCCGCGCCCTCCGCCCGCCCTCCGGCCCTCCGCGCCCTCCACCTCTCCTCCGCGCCCCCCGCTCTCCCTCCCGCCCCTCCGCGCCCTCCGCACCCTCCCGCCCCTCCGCCGCGCACCTCCGCGCCCTCCGCGCCACTCTCCGCGCCCTCCGCGCCCTCCGCGCCTCCGCGCCCTCCGCGCCCTCCGCGCCCTCGCACCCTCCCCGCCCTCCGCGCCCTCCGCGCCCTCCGCGCCCTCCGCCAGCCCTCCGCGCCCTCCGCGCCCTCCGCAAGCCCTCGCGCGCGCCTCCGCCGCGCCCTCCGCGCCCCGCGCCCTCCGCGCCCTCCGACCCTCCGCGCCCTCCGACCCTCCGCGCCCTCCGCACCCTCCGCGCCCTCGCGCCCTCCGCGCCCTCCGCGCCCTCCGCGCCCTCCGCGCCCTCGGCGCCCTCGGCGCCCGCCACGCCCTCCGCGCCCCCGCCCCGGACACAGTGTGCTGATGCTAAGGGTGCATTGCGTCTATTCTGCGGGTGCGTTGCGTCTATTCTGCGGGTGCTTCCTTTGTAAAGTATTTGTTTACAAGGCACGCACGTGCAGCTTAGCCTTTAAGTGTCCATCTTACCACCCCTACCCCCCCAGCACCGCCCGCCCCCCCCCACCCCCCCACACTCAACACCTTGTGTGTTGTGGATGCTAGCAGCCCAACGATTGCTGCCGCACCGTCGTGTTGTGGTGAGTGAAGTAGAGGGCTCTAGCACACGCCCAAACCCACACTCTCACTGCCACCACCCCCTGTGCCCCCAGTGCCACCCACCCACCCCCACCCCCACCCCCCCGCCGGTAGCCATTAAATATACGCGAAAGAAAATCAAAGATTTGCCGCCTGAGGCTGCGCCTGTGGGTCGCAGCGGCGCCTGGTCGCATTGGGCGCAATAGACAACCAGTCGGGCATCAGCTTCAGGCTTTTAAGGAACATTTAGGCACTGTGGAGCCCAGTCTCCCAGAGGCAAACAGTGACAGCTTCGATCACGAGGGAGTTGCGCTGCCTCTGTGCCCACGCGGCAATGCTTTCGTTTGTAGTCCCGATCTTCCTGGCGACAATCCGCAAAGGACAGTCGAACAAACAAGCAAGCAAACATGTACAAGTTGTTGCGGTCGTATCTTGGAAACGCAACGGACCATAGCACCCGTAAAACGTACAAGGCTTCAAATCAGTTGCAATTCCCCGCGCATTATCGACAGGTACTTGCTGCTGTGTTGCTTGTGATTTCTTTGCCACCATGGCTACACACTATCGGATTACCCTTCTGAACTCCCGGGCTCCAACATGAGAAAACATCAGCTGAATTCTCCAGCGGTGTGTGGAGCGGCAAACCGCAACGACCTTGTGTCATGCCTTACAACACGCATAGACTGACGCTGCCATGGGCAACGGGTCTAGATGCGGCTGTGCTTGGGAGTGCGGGCTGGTTATTGCACTGTTTCACTTCTCACCCCAAGTAGTTCTCCCCAGCGAAGAAGAGCTTCACTCTCATCAGCACGGGCCAAAAAGACTGAGGAGTTATCCCGAGCCCAGAGCTGAAGTGGAGTTGTCTCAGCATGATCAAGCAGCTGGCTATCACCAGAAGGCTTGGTTGGCTATTGGCTGCATGCTCTGATATGAAGAACAGCGCTGTAAGCGTGGCTCGAGGGCCTTTGCAGATCTCGCCGACGCTGCTCGGCTTGGCACAAACAGCTCCGTGACAGCCTCCAAGCTGTCAGTCGGTGATGTCTGTAGAGCCGCAAGTGCTAGCATTGGGGGCAAATGTTCGCAAATGTTGTCTGAAGCTGCTCCCGCCCAACAAATTTTCGACCGCTGGGATATAGAACGGTATTACCTCTTTAGCCAATGGGAAACCCTGCACTTGCCTTCGGGTTTGCAGTGCGAGGCGACAGCACGCCAGGTTGAGAGGCCTGCTGGCTCAAGATCCGCATCGGCAGTATGAGCAAGGATTTCTTGTTTGCAGCCTACAGTGGGCCTGCAGCGTACAGAGGCCTACGGCCGAAGTGTTAGGTTACCTGTTGCAAAGGCTTGCGGGAATACCATGGAATACCTCCACAATCCTGCAGAAGGGACAAGACATCGACGTGGCGGTTTCATGCGGGGCTCTCCCTTACTTCTCTCGCCTTTTGTGGGGGAGGCCTCCCTCACCCCCCCCCCCCCGTTCTTTCTCTTCTTTCTCTTCCTTCTCTTTCTCTTCCCTTCCTGCCAACGAAGTTGCCGCCCCGAGGAGCAGGAGGACATCCATCTTTCTTGTTTTCTTTCTTTCTTTCTGTTTTCCTTCCTCGTTTTCCTTTGTTTCCTCAGGGCGAGGGAGCCGGGCAATCCTTCTCGCCTCTGTTTTCGGGGCAGATCACATCGGTTTGTACTTTTTGCTTGCTTCTGTTGCGTCTTGTACTTTGCTTGTCTCTGTGCTCCGGGGGCTCAGCTGGAGAGGTGGCCTGCTCCCCACCTGCTCCCCATCTGCCCTCAAGTCTTTCTCCGAGGAAGAATTACAAGTGCTATGGTGCGGTCAACAACGAACCCCTACATGATGTGCTCCTTGCCCTCTTGGTAGTGTATTCAGATGCACCGAGGCTTCCTCCGACTTGGTGTGGTGCACTTCTTCCCCTCGTGAGAGCTCTTGCCTGTGCCGCCAGAGCTCGGTTTGTTTGTGTCGTCAAATTCCAAAGGGGTGGTACCTCGCCGTGCTGACTCCAACTCGGAGGTGGTTCTGGGGGTTTGGGTCGATGGGGTTGTAACTGGTGGTTCCCCTTGCTGGTGGTTACCCGCGGGCAGCGGGGACACGGAGTGGGAGGCCTTCAAAGTTGGGATGTGACACTGTTCTGGTTCGTGCCTCCAGCCGGTTGTACCTTGTACGGGGGGGGGGTCCCCCCGACGGTCTCTGTGATTTTTGTCTTCTTTCGTGGGGTTTGGGTCTCTCTCTCTCTCTGTCACTGTCTCTCTCCCCAGGTTCATCTCGATGTTCATCTTCCTATGAAGCCTACGGAGAATTCTCGTCTCCTTCTCAGCGGCATAAGGGACCACTGGAGTCCTGAGTGGCTGCGTGCCCCTGAACGCGCCCCATCCCCTCTGGTGGGTTGTTGAGTCCCGACTCCCCCACAAAGGTCGGCGAAAACAGTAACCCTTGGGACCAAAATAATCCAAAATACACATTGTCATACAGTATCTCTGTTCCCAGTTCACTTGCTTGCTGCTGGCTGTTGGCGCACAGTGACTGGTGCCAGGCAAAGCTTAGATCAAGTAGTACCTTTGGCCACGGAACACTGCAGCACGCATGCCGGAGCAGCTATTTTGTGTTTCACTCGATGTCGAACACATGTGGAAGGATAAGCGAAGCAAAGTTCAGGTCTAGAGCATCCGAGGAGCACGGCCTCATGCCGGTGTGGCAGGTGATCGCTCGCAAAAGCGTCAGCGCTGCCACATAAAAGAAGATGCTGTCGTGAGCAGATGGTCACGATGTGTGACCCGGCGCAAAATGGCGCAACACGCTTTTGCTGGCTGTTGGCCTGCAAGATTTCCTTCTTCTTCGGGGAGTTCTGCTCCCAATACTTTGATTCTCAGTCAACAGCCAGCTGCGAAGAGGAACACTAGGTACAGTAGGAAAGGCGACATGATAAATATCTCATGTGGTCCACGCTCAGGCTGGATGCCATCGCAGAGAGACCCGGAGGAAAGCGCAGCAGAGAAACTTGGCCATCTGACCCCGAACGGCGACCGCAGCTCCAGCAATCATGAGCATCAGAGATGAATCTTCTAATCATAAAGGAGACCCGGTCGGAGTTGGGGATTTTTAGGGCCACCTGCCCGCCAACCATCCATCAACAAATCGTGTCCGCACCACGCCGCAACAGCGTGCTGCGAACCTGAAGTGCAAACCCAGGCGACCTCAAACGACTCTCTGCCGTTGCTTAGTGGGACCTATAGTCTTCATATGTACCAGAAAGAATCGGAACAGCACCAAGTGTAGGCTGGTCGCATTGACATGTCATGTGGTCTGTCGATATCGCTCCGGGAAATCTGAGCCAGCCCTAGCCAGTCACGGAGGCGGTGCGAGGAAACAGCCCGCGGAAGACAAACACAAACGTGCAAGCTTCATATACAAGCTGCTTCTAGCCTGTTTTGTTGCAAGGCTTCGCCACGACGGTTGAACTGTCCAGGAACTCGTGAAATCATGAAGCTTGCATGGTCGTGAAAGGAACGGAACGGACAATCATTTAAAATCACAAAACATCTCTCGCGCCACTTCGCCAAGCACAGCTCCCGGCATCTCCCTGCTTTGTGAAGGCTACGTCCCTTACACCTGGAACACTAAGTCACTTAAGCGGACACAAGATGCACAAGCCTGCTCCTACCAATTCCTACCGACCAGCATTTATGCTGCCAACCGAATTGAGGAAACTGGTAACGGCCTTGTCCCACTATCGTAGATCTCCGAAGGCAGCTTGCTCGTGACATCTAGAACAAAGGAATTGGGGCACCCATCCCATCAAAGACCATGTGTCACAAGGCAGTCCAACAATGCTATAGGGATTGGGAAGTTTGGGGCACCGGCATGAGCTTGTGCGAATGACACGCCAGCATGAATTGAGCGCCTTAAGCCCAACATTCTGCCCAGCATAACTCTGCTAAAAAATGCCTTGGAAGGCCAGGTCCGTCAGTTGAGGATGGCCTGCGACAAAACATTGATGGAAAGAAGCTTCCGCGCTCTTTCGCCACGCCGAGATGTCAACATAGAGCTAAATGCTCTAGAGTGCAAGTAGCTCCCCAAGGTTGTGCTCTTCAGGACATGAAGAAAGCTGGGCACCTCAAAGCAACTCCCTCTCTGCGTTGCACAGGTGGTCAGGCGCTTGACCCAATCTGACCTCGAACTTCGGGGAGGTTTCGTAAGTTTCGTGTGGGGGGATTCGTGTACCAAAGCCCCAGTCTCCAACACCTTGCGCCTCACAACACTGGCAATGCCAAACCCCAAAATCGAGCAGAGGCTGCTAAATGCACCTGCACGTTTAAATACCCTCCTTATTTCGCCATGCCACAGCATCTGAGTCATCATCAGATTCTTCAGAGCCGCGACGGAGTCGGACAACCTCCAAACTAGATGGAAACACACGCGCATAAGGGCGCGCGGATGCACGGAAGGATTCGGGTGTGCGCGTGTGCGTGCGTGCGCGTGTGCGTGCGTGCGCGTGTGCGTGCGTGCGCGTGTGCGTGCGTGCGCGTGTGCGTGCGTGCGCGTGTGCGTGCGTGCGCGTGCGCGGCCACGGGTGTGGAGGGAGTCTTGGCGCTGTGTGGGAGCAGGCGTTGAAGTGCTGAGCGCTGCTGCGAGCACGGCGTACCTTTAAACCCTACTCAAAGAGCCATGCAATGACTCTAGCTTCTTGTGAAGCTCCTAGGCTGTCGCCACCATGAGCTAAGGGTCACAGAGCGAAAGGATGCGAGCATTCAAACAATTTCCAGAGGAGTCGTGGGTTTAAGAAACAGTTCTCCAACTTCGAGCTTCGGCGCGCCTGAGGTCCATCACCAGTTGGTTCTTACGGATGAACCGGCTATAATCCGCTCTCATTCTCGTGACAGGGCCCGACATGGAGGTTCCTACGCATGTTCGCTAAGCAAATACATACTTCAGCCACTGGGAACCAGGGGAGCCTCCGAGGTCCAAAGGTCAAGTGCGGCGATCCCATCATTTCTTGTTCCTTAAACTCACGCGGCGCCGCCGCGCTGATCGTCACTACGAGTTTCTAGACCGTCTTGGAAAGTGCCTTCACTGAGCTTTTGAACTGTTCTTAACCCAGCTGTGCAACCACACAGCCAGCGAGACAAAGATGAATAAGTTCCAGATTCCAGATGAATAAGTTCGTTCCATTCCGTTCCTTTGTCCGGGGTGGTAAATGGCCCCCCACCTCTAGAGATAGAAACCTAACCCTTCGGCTGTTCAAATGGTGGCTACGTCACGTACACTACACAGGGGCCACATGGCCTCCTCGAAGGCGGTGTGAGCGTGCTCCACGTCCTTGCGAACTTCTCGCAACCCAACGCCACACGTTGCCATGTTCAACTTCAGTAGCAAAGGACTGATTAGAGCAACCACAGCAACCCTGGGGCCGAAAACCTGAACAGAATCAGCATGAAGCACATTAAACCCATATGATGGTATAGTGATATAATGATATAATATGATTGGCGTAATGATATACTAACACAAGTAAGGATGCCATGTACCATCATGAACCCACTTCACACGGAAGCGATGGTTGCCTGTGTTCATGCGCTATCTTTCCCAAATGCCCTGAAGTCCTTTTGCAGCTGGTCCATTCGAGCAACGTGCCTCTGGAGACTGCGAAGCTCATGCGATGGCTGGGGGTATGCTGGGTCCAAGCACGCGAAGGCGAGATCAGATGGAATAGTGATGACTATAGTCAACCTGCCTGGAGTGAAGATGTCGATCTGGAGGTGATGGAATTGGCTTGCCTCACAGTTTCCAACTGCACCAGTTGCCAGACGATCACAGTGTCACAGTGCCTGCCTGTCCGCAAGCTACTCATAAACTAGAGCTGTCAGTGACATCTTCTTTGGACCAAGACATACCTTCCTTGTCGCAAAGAAGTGGTCAGTTCAACCATCTGCTTGGGTGTTTGACAGCTCAATTGCTGAACATTTTATGGCCGGACCCTGGTGACACCGTCCCACGTGGTCCCTGGCCTTAGTGCTCGATTGCTTTCCCTAGGCCCCCGGCCTGCGTAGTCCCTCATGCGAGGGCTGGTCCAAGAGTTCCAACTTTGCAGGAGGGAGTCCTCCAGCTCAACCACGTTCTCAAATCCGGGGAGCTCCTGTCAGGTCCCAACATCTGCTCTGAGGCTTGATCCTGGTTGATCCTTCAACCGCCTCTTTCTGTGGGGTCCTGCTGGACGCAAGA